TCTCTCCCACAGGTCCCAAGGGCTGCAGTGCCCCCCTGCCCCCAGACCTCTTGAGCTTTACCGCTTTGACAGCCTGCGGGGTTGGGGGCTTGGCTGCCTCCACTGACTCGATGGTTATGGTGTTGTTCAGCTCCATCTCCAGCTGCTGCTGGAAACGCTCCTGCAACTCCTCCACAGAGAAATCCAGCTTGGGGTATGACACCACCTTTTCCTGAAACAAGTGCAAGGCACTATGTCATGCTCATCCTCCCAGCTTCCCTCCAAGAGGCTCTTGTAGAACAAGTCCAGATGTCTCTGGCTGGTAAACCCCACAGGCTGCTCTGCTCTTGTGTCATGGTCAAGTATCTCCCCAAACAGCCCTTCTAGCACATGGAGGTCACCTCCAGGCCCCTGCCAGCCCTTGGCTTCACTCTTCCTCTGTAAGGCTGTTGGTAATATCATCCATTTGATGATTTGTGTGGGCTGTTGAGCAAAGACCATGGTAAAAATGCTTCCCTTACAGAGTCCTGAGCTGGACCTGAGGACACCTGTGAACATCACCTGGCCAGCTCCAACACCTCCCTGAGCTCTGTGGCTTACTTTGGAGTAGAAGTCCTGGAGCAGAGCAGACTTGCAGGTCTGGGGCTTGGGTGGAGGGGGCAGCTGGTAGTTGGGCAGGACAGTCCTGATGGCCCTCAGAACCTTCTCCTTCTCATCTTCCTCAAACAGGCACTTTTGGAAGAGCTCATCCACGTGGAAGCCATTGCTCTTCAGCTGCTCCAGGTATCTGAGGAGGGGCAGACAGGACAGGCTCGATCTTCCCCAGGGGCCTGAGCGTGCTGTGCAGGAGCTGCTGGGGCAGGATTTGTCTCAGCACAGCCAGTCCCACAAGGTCACCCGCCTCAGGTTACAGGGATCATGTGTCCATCTCTCAGCCTGCACCACTGTGGAGCCCCGGCCTGGGCAGGGAGGCTGAGCTCCAGCTGCTGCAGGACCGCGCTGCCCGCCGGCAGCCCCACGGTGTGTGCTGCACTGACACAACTCCCACACCAGGCAGGACGGGCACTGCCAGGCCCCTCAGAATCAGCTGACTGAAGATATTCACTTGGAGGCATCTAGAACTTGTCAGCCAGCCAAAGGACACAGAGGCCAGCGATACATCCCCGAGGTGTTTGTGCAGCACCAGCAGATCAGCAGCTTTCTCCATCCTCTGTCGAGGAGCTGGCTGTGCAGCCAGCCCCGGGCACTGTCCCTAGACCCAGTCTGTGGGATCTCACAGGGCTCCTTCAGCTCCCTGCTTTGGCCTGACACTTTCCTGCCCACTGTGCTCCGTGAGATCCACCTGAATCTCCTGACCACGCTCCTTCGGAGAGCCCTGTGGGAACTGGCTATCTGGCTGAGCCTGCCAAGAAAGGGAAACTGCACAAGCCATTCCCACCAGGCAATGACAGAGAGGCCAGTGGAAGCGAGATGCCCGGGATGGTGGGGAATCAAGGAGTCCCTGACTGGAGAGGGGCTCTCCCAGCCCAGCCCTGGGGAGAGAAGCAGCTGTTCTCACCTCCCACATCTCCTCTCCCTGCATGACCTCAGACAAACTCCCCAGCAGCTGGGGGTGGCAGGGAGGGTGCTGCAGGAGCTCTGCCCACCCCAAAACGTGGCCGTGAGAAAATGGTCAGAGCATCCAGGTGTGCACACAGCAGGGGCAGCTCTTCCCAGCCCCAGCCCCACATGTCTCCCAGTTCTCCCAGCACAGGCTGTGGAGCTGCTGCCCCAGGGCTCAGTGGCACCTGAGGCAGGTGTTACCTCCAGATGGCCTCGGGGGACGACTGGTTCCGGCCCATGCACTGCAGTGCTGCTGCGTAGGAGTCCAGGCTGGGCCGCAGGCCGACAGACTCCAGCATGGAAAACAGCTGGTCAACGTGCTGCAGGCAGCCCTGGGGATGAGAAGGGAAAGGGGCTGCGGATACACCGACACCAGTAGCCCCAAAATCATAGCTTCATGCCCCTTTACTCCTATTTAGATTCAGTCACCTCTACCCATCCCCTTCCCCATCCCCTTCTTCCCCTCAAAGCCACCTCACAGGGACTCATGGCCTCATGCCAGCTTTGTATCTCTTGGCAGAAGCCAAGCGCTCCCTGAACATTTGCCGAAGGCAGGTGTGACAACTACAAGTAAAACCATGACCAGCTCAAGGCTCTTCCTCCTGAGCTAGCCCTTCTCCCACCCAGAGCACCTGTGGCTCAGTACCTTCCTGGCCCAGCAGCGCATCACGATGTTGTAGGCACTGACATCCAGCAGCTTCTGCTTCACTGGAGATCTGTGGCACAGCATGAGGATCCGCTCAGCCTGCTCTGGCTGCTGCAGGAACAGGAAGCACTCCAGGCTGGACTGGATGGTCTCCTTGTGCTGGCTGCTGTCCTTGTCCTTCAGTGCCCTCCGAGGCCTCTCCAGCTTCACACCTTCCTTCACTGCCACCACCCTGGGCTTGCTGTGGCTGTAGAGGCTGTGGGGGCTGGTGGAGCTCTGGCTCCAGGTAGTGGCTGCTTTTACCTTTGGAACTTTTGAGGTCTTCAGGCTTTTCATGGGTTTTGCTTTGGGTTTGCCTTTGGCCTTTATCTGGGCCTCTGCCCTGGCCTTTGGCTCGGCCTCTGCCTTGGCCTCTGCCTTGGCCTTTGCTTTGGCCTCTGTCTTGGCCTTTGCCTTGGCCTTTACCTTGGCCTTTGGCTTGGCCTCTGCCTTGGCCTTTGCCTTGGCCTCTGTCTTGGCCTTTACC